TTCTGGTTGCTTTCTTGGTTTCACTGATACATTACATTTGAAAATATTTTTGTTGTGTCATATGGGGTAGTGATCCCCTCTACTTCCCAAATTGCTTAATCAACTGTTTTGATGTCATGTTTGAAAAATAATATTTTCTGCCTCTGCTCATTTGAAATGCTACTTTATGTCATAGGGGGTCTATTTCTCCCCTAAGAAAATAGGGTGATCCCAACAGTGAATTTATGGTTCTCTTTACTTTTTACTTACAGTTTAAAAAGTACTGGCACCAAAAAACAGTTTAAGACTATTAGTAATCAGCTAAGGAAAAAGTATAATTAAGAAACACATTCCATAGACTAGAATAATCAATTCCATGTAAACTTACGATTAATTTCCATGGCGTAGACTACATATCGATTGGAAAGCAGGATTTTTGTTTTGTTTTGACAGGAGGGGAGGAAAGAAGATAAGATGATGGTTGAGAGAAAAGTAAAACAAATGATCTAACAACAGAACTGTTTTGCTGTGAAGAAATGCAAATATTTTAAGCTTGAGAATTATTGATTCACACTTAGAAACAGTGATCTACTTAGAAGAATTACATGCATTATAATTCTAGAAATTATATTTCATGGATATTTATTTTACCATATGTCATAAACAAGAACAAAAGCTCACTAGTTAAAAATATTGTGAAAAAGACATGATGTTTTTGGCAGATGATCATTCTAACTTTCAGGTTAACCAATCACACACTCCCTATATTCCAACACAAACATCTCATAAGTACAAATAACTACAAGATTATTAGTTAATAGTCAGATAAAGAATCAAAAACCTACATTTAATTATGTTACTGAGAATAGCACAGCCTAAAGTTTACCTCTTTACCTTCTCTCATAACCCAATATAATTTTTAAAGAAAGCTCAACAATAAAAATATTACAGTTTATGTGTGGAATCCAGGGACTTTTAACATGTATGTATATCTAAACTAATATTCTTTTGAAACCAAATTAGGTTTTTATATTCTGGCTTACCAAGCTACTAAGACATTTCAGTAGTTGACTCTGTGATACTTGCAATAGTGATATGGTCAGAATGACATTATAAAAGTTAGAAAGAAGGTAGTGCATGAGCTCGTTATCATCTAACCTAGAGGCAATAGACACACGGACAGTCCTACATTGTATATGAGAGGAAGATGATAATAACTTTCTGTTCTCAAATAGCAGAGCTCTGGAAACAGCAGACACGCCGTTATAGCTGATGCTTTATGATAAAGTACAATATGCAAATGAAATGTTGGTCCTGAAATGAAAATGGGACTAAAGTGCCTCCTTCACTGGTAGAACATTTATTGAACTGTCCTGGTGAAATAGGTAAGAACATTTAAGCTTTATATCCGTTCAACCCAGAAGACACCAACTCAGCCTGCAGAGGAGCTGGGGCTACATTCCCCAGAAATCTGTGCAGGATCATAGCCCATTTCCTCTGCTAACATCCAGATTATTTTTGATAATACAAAATAGCACTCTAACAGTGAAGACAAAATGGGTAGCTATATGGAAAATGGGCTCTGATGGCTTGAAGAAGAGGATGGTGGGACGTGTCAGTTACTCTGCCGTGTCACCAGTTTATTCTACTGGAAAACACTACCAGCCTTACCCTGAGGTGGGGAGATACTAAGTTGAAGAAAAACTAGGCTATTGGCATTGGAATTGCATTCATGTGACAGGATGTCCAACAGATCCAGCTCAAGGGAAGTGAGACTCTTTTGGAGTTCTAGTGAATTATTTTTTGAATAAAGAAATGATTGATGTCTGAGAAATAAGTACAAAGTTCCATAATTTGTACTTATTTCTTTGTAAAATAATTTGATGCCTATGGTGGAGTGACAAATATTTTTTATTTCCAAATTAATACATGTTCTTCCATTAATTTGGAACTGATCATCTGCCTCAGAAGCAGGGAAGAGAATCTTACTATGAATTCTACTCTTACGGTCTATCTGGTCTGCAAACACCTCTCCATAGATCATCCAGTAGGGCATGTAGAAGATGTTTCGGGCCAGTTTCCAAGAAGGCTTCTCCTCTGGGTGCAGAATGGCTTGACGGGCTACTCCGAAACTCATGAGCACAACCAGCATGATGACCACAAAGTACAGCATGTCGATCATCTGAGTAGGGAGAACATTTGTCTGCCACTGTCTTGGCTCAATGGACCAAATTCACCCTGGCTCATTATATTGCCTTCTCCAATTAAGCACTTCAGGAATGCTTAATTAGGATGAAGAAAGCCTCTTTCCCTTCCTGCCTTCCCATCCATGGGAAGGCTTTTTCCTACTTCATGCAATGCTTTATGTCTAGAATGTCTTCTAGAACATTGCTATCCTCATCTGCTCTTCATCCTTCTTGCTTCTCCTCTTGTTATCCTTAGTAACTACAACCGCAAATGGAGAAAGGAAAGAATTATGAGAAAAGATGGGAGTTTGTAAGGAATACTAAGGAGTAAGTGGAGAAGATACCTAAGGAAATAAAAGGATAATTAATTGAGAGTACAGGCCAACATTTATTCATTTATTACACAGTGCTGAGTGGCTGCAGTGAGCAATGCCATGGTTACTGTGGATCCTAAACTGGTATAATTCCTAATTTTGAACATCCATGAAGATGGAGGCCCTTGCTGGAATTAACTAAAGCATATATCCGTTAGCTGAAAACCACTTGCCCCATAAAGAGTCCTTCCTAAATATAGGCAGCTTACTTTCTTCTTGCACCAGTCCTAACACTGAGGCTCTCTTAGGTAATGTAAGGATGACCCGCTGGTTCATTTTCAGTTTCATATGCTCTGGCCTGATCTGGAGTATAAGTTAACATGACTGATCATGGTCTAGTCATGTTAACTTCCTGTGTTCACTGCAGGCCAGAGTACATGAGTTGAAGATCATTTGGAGTACAGGTTGGGGAATGGCCCTGGGCTCCCTTTATCTCTGGCTTCTAGCACATGTTAGGAGGTTATAAATCAGGTGGGTTTTTTTTGGGGGGGGTGCCCTATATGCATTCGAAAGTGGATGTAGTCTCACAGAACATCAAATCCATGTCTCTGTACTAAGGAATGCTGAAAATATGTTTCCAGCCATCAAGAAGTAAATGTTTTGAGACATCTATTTTGCTACTGAATTCCTATTGCATCAAAACTTAATGTTCTCTTATGCCCTGGGAAAGTGAAGTAAGCTTTTATTAAAAAGAAGGCTATTTTCTTTTATATTACTGTCAAAATAGACTCATTAATAATAAATCAAAAGGAATAAAAAACAAAAGTAGGCTGGGCTCGGTGGCTCATGCCTATAATCCCAGCACTTTGGGAGGCCAAAGCAGGTGGATCATCTGAGGTCGGGAGTTTGAGACCAGCCTGACCAACATGGAGAAACCCCATCTCTACTAAAAAAAAAATAAAAAATTAGCCGGGTGTGGTGGTGCATGCCTGTAATCCCAGCTACTCAAGAGGCTGAGGCAGGAGAATTGCTTGAACTTGGGAGGTGAAGGTTGCAGTGAGCCAAGATCACGCCATTGCACTCCAGCCTGGGCAACAAGAGCGAAACTCCATCTCAAAAAAAAAAAAAAAAAGCAATTAGTTATCCTAGAGTTGAAATATGGATATGCTATGGAAGGAGGAAGACAGTATATATTGAGTGCCTGATATATACTGAGATATATATATATATGTGTGTGTGTATATATACACATATATACAGTGTAGGCAGGTAAACTATATATGTATATATGGTATGTATATATACACAGTAGGCCCTTAACTCATGTTTTTCTATCAGATTTTATTAAGTCATCAACAAGTAGGAGAACTGTGTATCTTAAAGCAAAGAACGTTTCCTTTAAAAAGCCAACTAAAAAGAAAAACCAAATGAAATGGAAGAAAGCCATGCGGAAGGCCTGTTCTTATGTCCTAACCACAGCCAAAGTCTCTCTGGCTACCCACAGGATGTCATTACTAACCATCTTTCCAATCATCATCACATATGGCCCCAGATACTTGTTGACACCAAAGATGTCCAGGACGCGGATGTACCAGAAGATGATATCCACACAGTAGATCACGCGGCCGTAGCCCATATAGGGCTGGTTCTGTAGGCGAAGAATTGCTCCAATCATGAAAGTGGAAATGGCCACAAGATCTGTGATGTTCCAGTACTCCTGAAGCCAAACTTTGATTTTCTGGCTGAGTTTGCCTGGTTCTGACATGAGGATCTGAAAACAAACCCCAAAGAACAAGACACTGAGATGCCGTATTATAAGTCTTGTCTTAGAATCTTGGAACAATAAGACTGGTGAAACATCCCAGGACATATGGCCCCTTTCCTGCTCAAAACCTCTTAACACTCCTCTTCTGAGGCACAGAGAGACATCTAGAAAGGGAAATTCCATGGAATCCTCCCTATTCTAAATTCAGGGTTTTACAAACTCAGGAAATGCCTTCTAAATTATGTCCTTCTGGCTGCAATTAAAGCAGCTGCATTTTGATTTCTTTTTTAATTATCTGGACACGTGCCAGTTAATCCACATTCCACACTCACACAGAACAAAAACTCTAGAGCAGGGATGAGCTCTACGTGGCTCCACAGAGGTTCAGTTCGCCCAGTGGAGATGGCAGAATGGGACTAGGAAATGTTTTGATTTGCCAGAATTCCTTTGCAACTTAGACATGAGAAATCAGGGAAAAGTTAGACCAGGGTTTCCCCATGTGAGATATTATCCTTTCAAAATCACTGCTGCTTAAGGAGAGACCTCCACAGAGTAAAATGCAAGATATTTAGCAAGCAGCCCGCACGGGCATGCGCAGAGCCGTTCCAATGGCACAGCTGTCTGTGGTGCCGCAGCAGGGTGGAGGGTTGCCGTGCCAGGTGGTACCCCTTCAGTTGCAGAGGCCTTGGGGATCTCTGTGGTAGGATGGGGCAGTGGCTATCTATCAGCCCACACAGAAGGGATTCACTAGTTTAACAACCCGTGCACACCAGCTGATGGCCACCCTCTCTCTCCTGTAACTGGGGACAGGTTCCTGGAATAAAGAACAGTGTCTCGGTGTATGGTGGACCCTCTCAGCAAGGTCATGACAGCACAGCAATGGTAAGGCAGGCCACTCAGGAAATCCCAGTTGCCGTGCCTGCAGAATTTGAATGAAGCCCAGCTAGAAAAGGAGCAGTAAACGATGGAAAGTATAATCTTAGGTTCAGTGCTCTTTTAGTTTCCCAGGCTCTCATTAGACTGATACCATCAGATTCCCTCTACCTGGAATAGGTTAGTAATGTTTTTCAGTTCAGTGAAAGGGTCAATAGTAATTGCAAAATAATAGTATTGGTTCTATACCAGTTGGAGAAAGGATATGAAATGGTGCTGTGGGCTTTTTCAGTTTAAGTTGCTTTTTTGCTTGGATACATGCTTTCTCTTTATAAGCAAATGTAGTGAATTAAAATGTCATACACTTCTGGACGACATTAGAAAGGGAAGTACCTGGCCCATCTTTCCTCTGCTGTCTGCAGAGATTGACTTCTAGGAGTTACCTTTTCTCTCGAGCCCTCTGGGATAATAAGAGTCATGTGTAAGATGTTCTTTTCAACACTGAGTTGAAAATCCTGTTCCCTCTGTTTGCAGCAAATGCTCCAGGCCCCTCCCACATGCCCTGGAGCTTTTCCCCAGGTGGGCTTGCCCATCCTACCTGCTGCAGGCACTGCTGTTAGGCCCACCCCTGCCCCCTTCTGGGAGGCTTGCTTTTGCACACTTGGAGCCATGTCTCTGGTGGGTACCAATGACTGATTGAGGTGGGGCCCAGAGGTGAGACAGACTCCACGGTGTTCAGTCCACGCAGAGCCCCCTGCAGGATTAGGCCAAGGGCAGGGTCCACCTGAAGCCACACCTCGCTTAGCGCCTTTCCCTCTTCACCGGGAGCCTTCCTTTCATCAACCTCTGGCACAGGGAGATAACATTTTTCTCCCTATAACTTTGGATCTTGGAGCACACTGTGCAAGTGTCTCCTGTAGCTCTCTTTCTTGTTTCCAGTCCCCCCAACATAAGCTGATATTCGTGCCCAGGTGCAGTAACTGGGTTATCTCAGGTTGCTGGCAGCATTTGCTGATGTTTTCCTACCTATTCAGACCTGTTTTCATCATTAAATATCATGTATTTTCCCTTGTGTTTTGGTTTTCAAGTTCAGTTGAAGGAGATGATACATATTAAAAAAATGAATGGAATAAACTTGGGATTCTGACACCTCCAAAAAAAGTCCCACAGTATGTATAATTTGGTTTTTTGGTTTTGTTTGTTTTGAAATGGACTCTTACTCTGTCACCCAGGCTGGAGCGCAGCGGCACAATCTTGGCTCACTGAACCTCTGCCTCCTGGGTTCAAGTGATCCTCCCACCTCAGCCTCTTGAGGAGCTAAGATTACAGGCACCCACCACTACGACTGAAAAATTCTCGTATTTTTAGTAGAGATGGGTTTTCACCATGTTAGCCAGGCTGGTTTTGAATTCTGACCTCAAGTGATCCTCCCGCCTCAGGCTCCCTAATAGCCAGGATTACAGGTGCACAGCACCATGCCTGGCTAGTTTTTGTATTTTTAGTAGAGATGGGGTTTCACCATACTGGCCAGGCTAGTTTCGAATTCCTGACCTCAAGTGATCCATCCACCTCGGCCTCCCAGAGTGCTGGGATTACAGGCGTGAGCCACTGCTCCCCATTCATCATGTATAATTTGCATGAGATGTTTTTTCAGTAAGGAGCCATATCTGCATTTGCAGCCAGCAGTTAGTGGGCTGGGGCAGGCGTTTGGGGTGGTCACCTCTCGTATCTTCTCCAAGGCCAGGCTCACAATGTAGGAAATGACGATCCACTCCTGGAGGGAGGGCCAGCCGTCCATCCGCACCAGGATAACATAGTTAAACAGCAGCAGGTACCCCAAGTACGATATCTGAAAGAAAGAGAAGCTGGTATCCGGATGTGGGGGAATCACGTTGCAATCAAATTTTGAAACCCTATTTTCTTTCAGGTTGATAAATCTAAAAAAATCTTTGTTTCCGAATGCACTGACATATTGGGAGGAAAGCTTCCCTGCAGCTCAACTGTGCAGACAGAGGACCCGGAGGCAGGATGGGAGGCGTTTTTTGCTTTAGCCGATATGGGCCCTGACTTTTCATTTTCTGCATGGAGACAAATTTGTTGGTGCTGTCATCCTTGTGGGGAAACTACGAAGTTGCAAAAATTATGATAAATGGGAAACTGTTAATAGTTTGCTGGTGTGTCTTCTACATTCCTGGAAATTGGAAAATGTTACTTACTCCTCCCTGCCTCATAAATTTCCTTCCTGATTCTTTCCACAACTGGGAAGTTAGATGAGAGGACTGTGGATGAGCTGCCCGCCCAGACTGTGAGCTGACCCTAGAGTCCCCTCAGGTAGTGGTGGCATGTCCAGGATTTGCTGTGGCCACAGCAGGGCCACTATATCTGTGGCAGGGAAAGAGGCAGAGCTGGAGGTAAGGGTGGGGTGAGGCAAAAGTGGGGAGTGAAGGGGTTGGGGGAGGATGCCTGAAGTCGGTCACCTGTCCCCCGTGATTCACCGTGACGCCAAGGAAACTTCAGCTTCTGCGTCCCTCACTGGCACAGGCCCCTTTTGAAGGATTGGGAGAAGGGTGCTAGAAGTTGAGTATTTGTAATTGGGCAGTATTTTTTTTTTTTTTTCAAGATCCCACCTCCCAATTGTGTAAGCTTCACCAGGAGACAGGCAGGCCCCTCCAGATCCACCATTCACTCCTCAGAGAAAGATTAGAGCCAGGTTCTCAGACAGTGGGATGCATCCTAACCCCTGGGAAGCTGTACACTGTGTGATGACTCCATCTCCACCCGATCCAGAGGGTCTGGGGCGAGACCCAAGGCTGAGAAGCCTCGATGGCTTCCTGGCCCAGCCCACAGCAGCAGTCTCTGTGGCTGAATTCTCCTGCAGGCTGGGTGCACCCCAGACCCTCAGATGGTTCTGACCAGAATTGGTGGGCAGCAGTGGCTTCAACTGTATCATCAATCGTGGCTGCCACAAGGTTGGGTGTGCAGGCCCACAGCTGACCCTTGAGGTGGGGCTGCACACAGAGCTTTGCTCTGCCCCCAGCCCACCTTCATTCATCACCCAGACCATGGCCAGGGACCCAAATCCTCATGTCCCATACCCTGCTCTCACCTCATCCCCCATGCAGCTGTAGTACCCAGGCCTGCCTGGCATGGGCTGTAGCCTGGTGCTTGGGGTTTCATGAGAAGTCTCTCTCCTCCCGACTGACATGATTGTACAAGGCACAGCGTGTCTGGTCACCCAGACTGGGACTGCCAGCAGCTCTGCCATTTCCCCCAGAGGTGCTCTGATCTGCCCTCCTGCCTCCTCTCCTGCTCTTGTTACCAGAGAGCCACACTCTGGGAGCTGTGTAGAACCGGGCCTCGGAGGGGGCTGGAGGATGGCTTGCTGGCCAAGCGGGTCAGTTTGGTGAGCACTTCAGAATGGAGAGGGCTTGATTTGCTTCCCTATCCCAAGGGTTTACCATCTGGACTTAGGCATGCCCTTGTAATAACCCTGCCAGTTTCATGAGAAAGGGAGTCTGTGAATTTGCTCTTCAAATCACTAGTCATCTCTGTTCATTTGAAGATAAAATTATAGTTTCCTAAGTTTGTGTTGCTAAAGGCATCAAAAGAGTTCATCTTAAGCAAACAGCATATGACTATTTTGCCTTATGAGATGGTACATTTGGGACTAGGATGGCCATGTATCAATATATGGCATATATCAATATATGACAGGATATCAAGATCCAGTGTTAGCCAGAGATCTCAATTAGTCCCAGTTTTATTTTCATAATTCATTTTAATTCAGTGAATTTTTTGATACTTTTTTAAGCCCTTGAAATTTTTCTTGATTCAACATATCAAAGCATTCCAAACATGCTGAATGTCAGCTGTTGAGGAGGAGGCCTTACCGTGTAAAACCAGAACTTGACAATGGGTGCATTATAGAATTCACAGATCTTTGTTCCGATGGGAATACTTTTTTGCTTTTTGTGCTCGTTCTCCTCGTCCCCCTTTCTTGAGCCAGCATCTGCGTTTGCATCCTGGAAAACGGAGCACAGCACATGACAGGCAAGTTGCTAAATGGGAAATGCAAAGCACACGGGCACCATATAAAAAAACAGAGTTCTAAAAACACCCTTAACCTATGAGATTTCTCAATCCATGGTATGGGAAGTCTCAACAGTTTGAAAACGAGATCACATTGATACTCTTAGGGTCAAGTGTGTCACTGACCATATTCTCCTCTTCTTTTTCTTTGCCATCCTCGTTTTCTTTGGATGTTTGATACGAGAAATCATCATAGGTGCGAAATTCCAAAAACAAGATGGTAGGGGGAAGAAGAATCCCCATGATAACCTATGGGACAGAAATAGATTGTTTTAAGCCGTGGCAATTCTAGAAAAATTTCCCAGTATAGTTAAAATGTTTACATTATGACCTTCAACATTATTCAATGACCTAGGAGCCCTGGAAAGTTTATCCCTACTCTGATGTTCTCTGACTTCTGCTTGGTAGCTTGGTAGAGTTGCAGACAGTAAAAAATTTAAGAGCATATACTAAATTTTTTAGATGAATGACAAACAGCACTACTGGTAATCCTGACTTTAAAAAGAAAAATCCTGGCTGGCATGGTGGCTCACACCTGTAATCCCAGTACTTTGGGAGGCCAAGGAGGGTGGCTCATATGAGGCCATGAGTTTGAGACCAGCTGGGCCAACATGGCAAACTCCATCTCTACTAAAATACAAAAATTAGCTGGGCATGGGTGGTGCACATCTGAAATACCAGCTACGTGGAAGGCTGAGGCACAAGAATTACTTGAACAGTGTAATGCCAGCTATTCGGGAGGCTGAGGCACAAGAATCGCTTGAACCCAGAGGCAGAGGTTGCAGTGAGCTGAGATCATGCCACTGCACTCCAGCCTGGGTGACAGAGAAAGACCCTG